AAACAGTAACACCGCTATCCTGACTGTGGTGGACAGATTTTCCAAGACGGTGCACTACATAGCCCTACCTAAACTGCCATCAGCTAAGGAGACGGCAGTGGTGATGATGGACAGTGTGTTTAGGATTCACGGTTTACCCCAGGACATTGTGTCGGATCGGGGGCCACAATTCGTCTCCAGGTTCTGGAAGAAGTTTTGCAAGCTCATCGGAGCCACGGCGAGCCTTACATCAGGGTACCACCCTGAGGCTCACGGCCAGACGGAGCGCCTCAACCAACAGCTGGAAACCGGCCTCCGCTGCCTGGTGGTGCAGTGCCCTGCAGCCTGGAGCAAGCACCTGACGTGGGTCGAGTTCGCCCATAACTCCCTCCCCACTTCCGCCACTGGTATGTCCCCCTTCCAATGTGTGTTCGGCTATGTTACGCTCCCTGGTGGCTCGACCTGGAGCGCAACATAAGGGCAACAGGTCAAGGCAAGTGAGGCGCCAGCCACACAAAATCCAATACACAAAACGCAACAAGAAAGTATTTATTTTTCAAAAGAGCAACACAGGGATCAACAAGAACTGTCAGTGGCACCAAAGAAAAGAACATAAACAACCCCCCTCCCTCCCATTGACCGGTGCTTAGCACCCAAAAGTACAATGGGTGGTGCTCACTCTAGCCTAGGGTACTAACAACAGGTACACCTATGTGTATGCAATATGTAAACCCCGGAGTATCTTACCTGTCCTCATTGACCCTGTGCGCACAACCAAAAGATATCACAAAAACACCAGTAGGCTGTTAATAATTCAATTTTAACACAAGACAGTGCTCTTCAAACCGCGGGCCCAGCTCAACACAGAAGAGCCTCCCCCACTGAAAACAAACATTGACCATATGAAGGGGAATGGTTGATGGGAGATCTGGAACAGGTGTGGTGATTGGACGAGGGGAACCAGGTGTGCACATCTGTGAAGTGAGAGAATGGAAACAGAAGGGGGAGACAAAAACACAAACCAACAACACAAAAAAGAACACCATATCTGTAGACCTATACCCATAGAGCACTGTATGTAACAGGCTACCAACCCCCCTTTTTCCCAAAGTCCGAATCAGAGGAGTCTGTGCCCTCTGCTCACGCCCTGGTCCGCCGCTGCCGCCGCATCTGGGCAGCAGCTCGCCAGACGCTGATCAGACAGGGGGACAGGGGGACAGGGTCAAGAGGGCAGCAGACCGCAGACGGAGACTCCGGCTTATCAGGCCGGCCAGCGAGTGCGGCTCGCGGCCAAGGAACTGCCCCTGCAGGTGGAGTCACGCAAGCTGGCCCCACGGTTCGTCGGCCCGTTCCCCGTGTCCAGAGTGATCAACCCAGCTGCTGTACGCCTCCGCCTGCCCAGGTCCCTTCGTGTCTAAACCCCCTCTCGTTTCAGGTGCCTTGCCCTTCCTCAGGTGTCTCCTGTCGATTGTCTCCACCTGTTCCCTCACCTCCCTCATGGATACTTATTGTCTGCGTCTCCCTTTGTCCTGTGCCAGTGTATCTTGTAGTCGTGCATGTCCACACCCGCGTTAGTGTTAGTTTGTGAAAGGATATTTGTATATGGTATTATTAGATATAGGAATTAATGGAATAAATCTCTAGCAGTCAAACCTCTCTGCGTCCTTGTCCTCCTCCCCGGCTCCGGCCTGACTGACAACATCGGGTTAATGAAGGTTTTCTGTGTGGGACCTTCTGTTCTGAGTTCTGAGTTCTGGTCTGATTTTGATCTGCAGATGTTCGTGGTCCCCAGAGGATGAATCCTCATATTAATACCTGTGAACTAACAGATAAATGTCTAAGTTAAATAAGTTAAAACTTACTTACAAACATCAGAATCACCAGAATCACTTACATGAACAATATTCATGTTTAAATGTCAATAAATCCACCAATGATGTTTAATCAAGCTTTAATACATCAGAGTTAAACAGAAATGTGTCCTTGTTGATCCGTTATTTGTTTTTGTCCTAAACAGCTACAAACTCACCAAAGTGCGCTGGGTTCGTCCTCTGAGGACCATGAACGTGTCCTCGGAGACGTTGTGTTTTACTGAGTTTAAGAAGAAAGAAAAGAAGAAACCGTTAATATGAAGAAATGAGAAACTCGTCCTGGAGATGAAATGTGACTCCGGCTCATCGACTCGTCCTCAGCAGGTTTTTGTCTCGCTCTCTTTCACTGTGGGATTATGATGGTTACGGTTATTTTTACTTAATCTTTGGCTCTGGGACCAAACTGTACGTAACAGGTAAGAATAAACGTTTAATTCCTTCAGTTGTTTCATTGAACAAGTTGAAAATGTGATTTTAATGAGTTCACGATGCTTCACATATTAATGTTTTCATCATTAGTAGATAAATATTGATCCCGTGCAGCTGCTGTGCATCAATAATGTTAAAAATGAGAGTTATTCTTTATTCCTGCAGAAGATTAAAGTGATTTAGAGAGAAATTGTAAACATTGAAATGTATTTAAAATATACAGAATCTGATCCTTTCAGTTATTGAGCTTCATCTTAAATCAGAAAGTATATTAAATAAAAATGATCCTTGTTTTCAAACTGTAAATGTCTTACTTTAAATATATATATACTCTAATAATATAATCTACTATGATAGAATTAGTAAATACGTGCCGTTAATATTTTAAGTGACGGTATATTGTTTTGAAGACAAATTATTAGTAATATTATTAGTATTACATCACATCACACGTCATTTATCTGACGCTTTTATCCAAAGCGACTTACAATAAGTGCTTTTAACCATAAGGACACAAACTCAGAGGAACAAGAAACAAGAAATAACAACTTCATTAAATAAGCCAATTTACAATTTGCTATAGATAAGTGACATAAGTACAATTTAAGTGCTACAATTTGTCAGTCTTTTAATCGAGGTATTATTATAATTATTAGTAGTAACAAGAGTAACTTGTAAGCTGGCTAAATAAATAGTATTGTTATAACGACAGAAACTGAAATGAAGATTGTATTTTAGGAAAAGACAAATATGCAGTTCATTAGAATGTTTGTTGGCTTTCTGTTAGCGTGACCGTAAATCATCAGATCATACGTGTGTTTCCCTCCGATGATAAATTAGGTTTTATTTTATCTCCGTACAGCAGAGAATGTGTTTTTTTACTCATTTGGTTCAACTGTCAGAATTGTAAAAAAAATAAAAAGTATTTTTAGGGTTGTGTCTTATATTTATTTTTGGTTTTAAGCGTCACAATATTCATTATTATTATAATTATTATTTAATTGGGAAAGATATTAGTCAAATTTGATACTTGTTATATTAATAAAGGTTTACGTTTTATGACACATTTTATTTTTAAATGATCTGTTATATTTTGTGTAAAATCATTTTACAGAAAAATTAAGAAATTATCATTTAGTCATATTTTGTTGTAATGTAGTATTTGTAATAATAGAATTCAGGTGAACACATTCTGTGTGCAGTGAACTCTGTGCTGTGTTGATTATCAATTTAGTCATTATTTTGTGTTCTATTATGTTACATAATATAATGTAATATAAACTTATATTATATTTCATTACGTTATGCAATGTTGTAAAACGTAATGTAATATTGTATTAAAACATATTGTTTTATTGCATCATATTGCATTATATTACGTTGTATTATATTACATTGTATTACGTTGTATTATATTACATCATATTACGTTGTATTATATTACATTATATTACGTTGTATTATATTACATTGTATTATATTACATTGTATTATATTACATTATTCACGTTACTTTACATCATATTCTTGTAGGTTACATCACATGACGTCGTGTTATTTATGTCTTCAGGTGAGCCGGTGGTGAAGCCCGTGGTGAGCGTGTACCCAGCAGCATCCAGCGTCCACCTGCAGGGGAGGAGCTCCCTGCTGTGTGTGGCCTCCTCCATGTTTCCTCCTCTGGTCCGGTTCTCCTGGAGGAGACGTGAGGAGCACGGTTCTCTGCAGGAGAAGCTCCCTGATGATGCAGAGCAGCTGGAGTTCACAGAGTCCGGACGCACCGCCTCCATCTTGCTGCTGCATCAGCAGGAGACCAGCCGCTATCGATACCGCTGCTACGTCCACCACGAGGGGGGAAAGGTGGAGGCCCCGAGCGAACAAGGTGACCAGAGGTCATCATCTTCATCTTCACGTGGAGACGCTGCTGTAAAGACAGCAGAGGAGCAGAGGAGGCTCCTCCTGATGCTCCTCACTCACAACCAGTCCCTGCTTTTCTGTTTCAGAGGACAGAGTTCCTCCATCAGCTCCTCCATCAGCTCCTCCGTCAGCTCCTCCATCAGCTCCTCCGTCAGCTCCTCCGTCAGCTCCTCCGTCAGCTCCTCCGTCAGCTCCGGGCCCGTCTCCGTACCAGGTGAAGCTGCTGTGCCGGCTGTACGTCGTGCTGATAGTGAAGAGCCTGGTGTTCTGCTGTGGAGTCTCTCTGGTGATGGTCCTCAGGAACACGGCTCACATGTAGGACTTCTCTCCTCATCTCCTCCCATCAGTTTGTCCCTCTGATCAGCAAACATCTGCTGATCTTCACATGTTGAACACCATCATCCTAAAGGCATGAACACATACATGTGTGTATTCTACCAATAGTTGCAGTAGATCCGTGTAAATCATTTCTCGTGTTAGTTGGAGTATTTCTACTTAAATATCTGATATAAAACAACATGATGCTGAATCATCAGCTGTCTGTTAAATATTCTTCTTTTCCTTCAAATGAATGTTGATTCTCTGTTTGTTGAGTTGCTTTTATACGGAATATTGATGAAGTCTGTTGATGTTCTTTGTGTTTGTTTCTTCATGTGTTGAACACGTTATGAAATAAATAAAAACACACAGACACAATGTTACCGGACTAATTCCTTCAATGATGGAAATACAGAAACAAACCACAGCTCCTGATTCAGAGCTGCTCCCGTTTTAACGCTTTCACTCTTAAAGTCACTCCAGTGTCTCCACCTGAAGGAGGATCTATTTCCTGGACCACGGACCTCCGACCAGAAGCTTCATCAGAGGATTCTGGGTCTCGTCCACACGGTGAAGACCTCCAGGTGGGTCGTCAGCGGAGGTCTCTGGGTGCACAAAAGGCCTCCAGAGAGGAAGAGAGGAGAGGAAGAGGAGCTGGTGAGCGTGGCAGACGTTCTCTGTGGTTATTAGCTCTCATGACGAGCTGCTCACAGCCCGTCACCACTTCCTCTCCTGCAGCAGATGCTGTGTGGTTTCTGCAGAGACGTTCTCACAGGAGCCACACGGCGACAGTTACAAGCATCTCCTCTGGTGGACCATCGCTCCGTGATCTTCAGTTAGACATCAGAAGACTTTACCAACTATGACAGTGAGTCAATAACAGCTTGTTGTAATTCAGCAGAAGATGCTGGATATTCAAAGAAATATTCTGAAACATGTTCAGGAGAATATTTAAAAAATATTCAACCACTAAAGACAATATAGAAAAATATTCAAAAGAATATTAAAACAAAATATTAGAAAAATTATGCAATGAAAAAGGTGAAGGCTGAAATCTGTGTTTGCCACATAAAGAAGACAATACTACCAATATAATGACATAAAATAATGGAAACAGAAACTGATCTTATCTGGTTTTCTCAATTCCGGGGGGAAGAAATCAAAATGTTATTTTGAGGGAACCAGTGGGATAATATGTTGTCACATAAATAATATTCAAAGGAATATTTTTTTCAATCCAAAAGAGATCTTGGAGAATTCATAGAAACATTGAAAAAACATTCAACAGACAACGATATTCAACACGTCTGCGTCCTCAGCAGGTTCAGCTCAGGGATTGGCCGAGACCGCTCCTCAAGCTCCTCCCCAAACCACACCCCTTAAAGACGTACTACCTCCCGACCGTGATTTTCCTCTTTGAGTTTTAGCGCTCAGCTTCCTTCTTGCCGCACGTGGTAACAAACGCCAGCTTCTCTCCCTTTGGGACACCTGAACTTCGCCCTACGCATCCTCAATGGAGATCACTCACCTCGCAGCATCGCTCCGTCCAAAGACGCTCCAATGCGTCCTCCATCACGCCGGGTTCAGGACCTCGGCCCCTCTGAGGCCGGTTCCTCCATGTTGGGCAGCGGCGTTCAGCTCGTGAACCCTTCTCGTCTTACTGGACATCTCTGTGTATCTGTACTACGGGAACGATTCGCTGGCAGAGACCACGCCCCCAAATGGATGTGTTCAACCATCTTATTTGGGGGTCGTGAGCGATGGGACTGTACGTGGGTCGGTGGGTGTAGGGAGCTGCGTGGGAGGACGCGCCGCGGCGCCCGGACACAACTAACAACCACACGCAGACGCCTGCCCGTCGTTCAATCCGGTCTTGGTCACATGTTTCGTCACCTTTCATCGTTCCAAGATGGCGCTTGAGCTCTTATGAAGGAACATCTGTGTCCTCATCGTGTTCTTCTGCCTGGAGGATCTGAGACCAAACACATTCATTATGATTATCGCTACTGCCTCGTTTGTTCACGTATTGTAGACGATCTCCTGCTAATATGTCTTCATTTAGGTCGGAGTGATTCATCACATGAATAAATAGCTCACGTTAAACTGCATTTCTTTGTCCTTGTGCTACATGGAATGTACACACAGTACCTCCTGCTTCAGGTGCAGGTGAGTTACCTGCAGCGTCTTAATCCTCCAAAGCTGATGTAGGCGGGTGAGATGTAATGACACCAGACACAACACTAAATGTAGGGCTCCTTATCCGTGACTACTCCTTGGGTAGAGAGCAGAGTTAATGGAGCTGTTCCACTTTGTGATTATGAACTAGTTCCAGTGTACGATTATCCCTTTATCCCTTTCAACGTTTCACAAGTAAACTTGATGCATATTTTCTGCACACAAACACCTGCAGTAGTAACCGTCCTGCCAATATGATCAAGGGGAGAAAACAAACTGGAGTCAAAGCCTTAAAATGATGACTATGCATAGTGTGGTACAAGGTTCAGAGCGTCATCAGCAGCTCTCACATGAACAACATCTGGAATCATCGACCGAAACAACATCGACACCTTTAGCGTCAAACTATGTTGTTTACACACACAGTTCAATGTACGTTCTCTGTTCTGCACACAGACGACGTTCAACATGCTACGCTGCACAGTCACATGCAGAGAGCAACGCCACTTCCTGTTTCCCTCGTCACGTGTCGCTAGCTGTCCTGGGAGCGCAGCGCCCTCTAGTGGCTTCAGTGGTGAACATCATCGCCCCGCTGACTGGTGTCGACCACAGTCCCTCAGTCAGAGAGAACCAGGCCCGCGGGGTCCATTCCAACGTGTCCTTGATGCGTAGCTGAGCTTAGCTAACGGGGACACGTCCAAGCGCGTGTAGCCGCTGTTATCCCACTGCGGGCTAACGCGTGCTAACGTTACGTGCACGTAGAAAGTGGTTCTTCGTGTCCACACAGCAGCCCTCCATGTGGTTCTTAATAAAACAGGAACAACATGAAAACAAAGTAAAGTGCTGCTGCTTTTAAAATGATTTTGACCAAATACAAAGTCAACGTCCCTCCGTGACAGTCGCCTCCCGTCAGTGTTTAATGGTGGAAGCAGACAGCGAAAACTGTTTATTCTCACTTTATACATTTCTACTTGGAAACTTTATGCAAGAAATTTGCTCTGGAAACATTTGTTTTCATCCTCTTCCTCCTCCTCCTCTTCCTCCTGCTCCTCCTTCTCCCCCTTCTCCTCCTCTTCCTCCTCCTCCTCCCCTTCCTCCTCCCCCTCCTCTTGCTCCTCCTCTTCCTCCTCCTTCTCCTCCCCCTCCCCCTCTTCCTCCTGCTCCTCCTCCTCCTCCTCCCCCTCCTCCTCCTCCTCTTCCTCATCTTCCTCATCCTCCTCCTCCTCTTCCTCCTCCTCCTCCTCACAGAGTCCCAGATCGTCTCTGAGCTGCTCTGGTTCTTCTGTGTGAGGAGCAGCTTTAGCACCTGACCGGATGCTGGTGGAGGTGTGAGGACCCGCCTCCCTCCTCTCAGCTCGTCCTCCAGCTGCTTCAGAGCTCCACTTCTGCTCGTGTTCACCAGAGGAAACACGATGCACGCGATGCTTTCCCTCCCTGCTGCTGCTCTGTGCGCCCTGAGTTCAGGTGAGTGTTTGCAGCCACTCGACAAGCTCCGCCTCCGACGCACCTTCATCACCTGTCTGTTTGTCTGCAGCGCTGGTTGCCATGGCAGCACAGCTGATTCAGGAGGATTTGACGTTGACCAGGACAGTTGGTGGGAATGTCTCCTTCAGCTGTGGAGGAACTGACCAGTGCAACAATAATTATGTATTCTGGTACCAGAAGAGAGACACAGGAACATTCACACTGATTCTTGATATTGATAAGAGCAATGGTGACATAGATAAGTCGTACAATCATCCTCAGAAAGATGATTCCACAGCTGTGAAGAAAGAGTTTGGCTTTGATTTGGAGATCCAGAAGGTTGATCTCACTCATTCAGCCTCCTACTACTGCGCCTGTAGGATCCACAGTGAGCAAAGCTTCCTGCAGCCTGAACAAAAACCATCAGAAGAACAGGAAGCGTTTGACAAAGATCTAAAACCACATCTCAGGTGGACGTTCCTCCTCCAGCTGAGCCACAAACACGACTCATGATTTATTCGTCTTTATTCACACGAGCCTCAAAGATTCCTGCAGTTTGTTGTTGCTTCATTCAGGAAGAACAAGAATGAAACAAGTTAAAGAAATTTATATTAAAACATGAACAAGCTTCAACATTTTGATGAAGGTTAAAGTCCTATTTAAGGAATAAAGTCTGATATCTCCTCACAATGATCATCTAACACTTCCTGTTTCTCCTTCACAATAAAAGCTAAACAGATTTCACCTGTAAATTTAACTCCTGTAAATGAAACCGTCCCATCGGGTTAATGAAGGTTTTCTCTGTGGGACCTTTGGCTTAAGTTCTGGTCTGATTTTGATCTGCAGAAGATGTTTGTGGACCCCAGAGGATGAATCCTCATATTAATACCTGTGAACTAACAGAGAAATGTCTAAGTTAAATAAGTTCAAACTTAATTACAAACATCAGAATCACCAGAATCACTTTTAAACAATATTCATGTTTAAATGTCAATAAATCCACCAATGATGTTTATTCAAGCTTTAATACATCAAAGTTAAACAGAAATGTGTCCTTGTTGATCCGTTATTTGTTTTTGTCCTAAACAGCTACAAACTCACCAAAGTGCGCTGGGTTCGTCCTCTGAGGACCATGAACGTGTCCTCGGAGACGTTGTGTTTTAGTGAGTTTAAGAAGAAAGAAAAGAAGAAACCGTTAATATGAAGAAATGAGAAACTCGTCCTGGAGATGAAATGTGACTCCGGCTCATCGACTCGTCCTCAGCAGGTTTTTGTCTCGCTCTCTTTCACTGTGTGGTTATGATGGTTACCGTTATTACTACTTAATCTTTGGCTCTGGGACCAAACTGTACGTAACAGGTAAGAATAAACGTTTAATTCCTTCAGTTGTTTCACTGAACAAGTTGAAAATGTGATTTTAATGAGTTCACGATGCTTCACATATTAATGTTTTCATCATTAGTAGATAAATATTGATCCCGTGCAGCTGCTGTGCATCAATAATGTTAAAAATTACTGAGTTATTCTTTATTCCTGCAGAAGATTAAAGTGATTTAGAGAGAAATTGTAAACATTGAAATGTATTTAAAATATACAGAATCTGATCCTTTCAGTTATTGAGCTTTATCTTAAATCAGAAAGTATATTAAATAAAAACGATCCTTGTTTTCAAACTGTATATGTATTACTTTAAATATATATATACTCTAATAATAATATAATCTACTATGATTGAATTAGTAAATACTTGCCGTTAATATTTTAAGTGACGGTATATTGTTTTGAAGACAAATTAATAGTATTATTATTAGTATTACATCACATCACACGTCATTTATCTGACGCTTTTATCCAAAGCGACTTACAATAAGTGCTTTTAACCATAAGGACACAAACTCAGAGGAACAAGAAACAAGAAAGAACAACTTCATTAAATAAGCCAATTTACAATTTGCTGTAGATAAGTGACATAAGTACAATTTAAGTGCTACAATTTGTTAGTCTTTTAATCGAGGTATTATTATAATTATTAGTAGTAACAAGAGTAAATTGTAAGCTGGCTAAATAAATAGTATTGTTATAACGACAGTAACTGAAATGAAGATTGTATTTTAGAAAAAGACTAAAATATGCAGGTCATTAGAATGTTTGTTGGCTTTCTGTTAGCGTGACCGTAAATCATCAAATCATACGTGTGTTTCCCTCTGATGATAAATTAGGTTTTATTTTATCTCTGTACAGCAGAGAAAGTGTTTTTTTACTCATTTGGTTCAACTGTCAGAATTGTAAGAAAAAAAAAGTATTTTTAGGGTCGTGTCTTTACTCTTGTTTTTAGCGTCACAATATTCATTTTATATTATTTAATTGGGGAAGATATTAGTTGGTTGATGGTTGTGTCTTATATTTATTTTTGGTTTAAAGCGTCACAATATTCATTAAATTTATAATTATTATTTAATAGGGAAAGATATTAGTCAAATTTGATACTTGTTATGTTATAAAGGTTTACGTCTTCATGACACATTTTATTTTTAAATGATCTGTTATATTTTGTGTAAAATCATTTTACAGAAAAATGAAGAAAAAAATCATTTAGTTATATTTTGTTGTAATGTAGTATTTGTAATAATAGAATTCAGGTGAACACATTCTGTGTGCAGTGAACTCTGTGCTGTGTTGATTAATAATTTATTCATTATTTTGTGTTCTATTATGTTACATACATACATAATATAATGTAATATAAACTTAGATTATTTCATTACGTTATGCAATGTTGTAAAATGTAGTGTAATATTTTATTAAAACATATTGTTTGATTGCATCAAATTACATCATATTACGTTGTATTATATTACATTATATTACATTGTATTATAAGACATCATATTACGTTGTATTGTATTACATTGTATTCCGTTGTATTATATTACATTATATTACGTTGTATTATATTACGTTGTATTATATCACGTTGTATTATGTTGTATTATATTACATTATATTACGTTGTATTATATTACGTTGTATTATATTACATTACGTTGTATTATATTACATTATATTACATTGTTCACGTTACTTTACATCATATTCTTGTAGGTTACATCACATGACGTCGTGTTATTTATGTCTTCAGGTGAGCCGGTGGTGAAGCCCGTGGTGAGCGTGTACCCAGCAGCATCCAGCGCCCACCTGCAGGGGAGGAGCTCCCTGCTGTGTGTGGCCTCCTCCATGTTTCCTCCTCTGGTCAGGTTCTCCTGGAGGAGACGTGAGGAGAACGGTTCTCTGGAGGAGAAGCTCCCTGATGATGCAGAGCAGCTGGAGTTCACAGAGTCCGGACGCACCGCCTCCATCTTGCTGCTCCATCAGCAGGAGACCAGCCGCTATCGATACCGCTGCTACGTCCACCACGAGGGGGGAAAGGTGGAGGCCCCGAGCGAACAAGGTGACCAGAGGTCATCATCTTCATCTTCACGTGGAGACGCTGCTGTAAAGACAGCAGAGGAGCAGAGGAGGCTCCTCCTGATGCTCCTCACTCACAACCAGTCCCTGCTTTTCTGTTTCAGAGGACAGAGTTCCTCCATCAGCTCCTCCATCAGCTCCTCCGTCAGCTCCTCCGTCAGCTCCTCCGTCAGCTCCTCCGTCAGCTCCGGGCCCGTCTCCGTACCAGGTGAAGCTGCTGTGCCGGCTGTACGTCGTGCTGATAGTGAAGAGCCTGGTGTTCTGCTGTGGAGTCTCTCTGGTGATGGTCCTCAGGAACACGGCTCACATGTAGGACTTCTCTCCTCATCTCCTCCCATCAGTTTGTCCCTCTGATCAGCAAACATCTGCTGATCTTCACATGTTGAACACCATCATCCTAAAGGCATGAACACATACATGTGTGTATTCTACCAATAGTTGCAGTAGATCCGTGTAAATCATTTCTCGTGTTAGTTGGAGTATTTCTACTTAAATATCTGATATAAAACAACATGATGCTGAATCATCAGCTGTCTGTTAAATATTCTTCTTTTCCTTCAAATGAATGTTGATTCTCTGTTTGTTGAGTTGCTTTTATACGGAATATTGATGAAGTCTGTTGATGTTCTTTGTGTTTGTTTCTTCATGTGTTGAACACGTTATGAAATAAATAAAAACACACAGACACAATGTTACCGGACTAATTCCTTCAATGATGGAAATACAGAAACAAACCACAGCTCCTGATTCAGAGCTGCTCCCGTTTTAACGCTTTCACTCTTAAAGTCACTCCAGTGTCTCCACCTGAAGGAGGATCTATTTCCTGGACCACGGACCTCCGACCAGAAGCTTCATCAGAGGATTCTGGGTCTCGTCCACACGGTGAAGACCTCCAGGTGGGTCGTCAGCGGAGGTCTCTGGGTGCACAAAAGGCCTCCAGAGAGGAAGAGAGGAGAGGAAGAGGAGCTGGTGAGCGTGGCAGACGTTCTCTGTGGTTATTAGCTCTCATGACGAGCTGCTCACAGCCCGTCACCACTTCCTCTCCTGCAGCAGATGCTGTGTGGTTTCTGCAGAGACGTTCTCACAGGAGCCATACGGCGACAGTTACAAGCATCTCCTCTGGTGTGGGATAACTCACACATCTCACATATCACACATATCTCACATATCTCACATATATCTCACATATATCTCACATATCACACATATCTCACATATCTCACATATATCTCACATATCACACATATCTCACATATCACACATATCTCACATATCACACATATCACAAATATCTCACATATCTCACATATATCTCATATATCAATAATCACACATCACACATATCTCACACATCACACATATATCTCACACATCACACATATCTCACATATATCTCACACATCTCACATATCACTTATATCTCACACATCTCACATATCACACATATCACACATACCTCACATATCACACATATCTCACATATCTCACATATCTCACACATCTCACATATCTCACATATATCTCACACATCTCACATATCACTGATATCTCACACATCTCACATATCTCACAGATCTCGCCTACATCGCTTATAACACATATATCACATATCTGTCTGGGATAACACATGGCGCATGGCTCTCACGTATCTCACAGATGCTGCAGATTGCAGACATATCACAGGCATCTCATGGAGCGGAGTAGGTCATGTATTGCATAGATGAGGGCATTTCCCACGGGTCACACATACATTACATGTAAGAGCGATATCAGATATGCCCCATACATCTCAAAAGGCGCATTGTGTAGAGGATCCAAACAGGTCAGTAGAGGAAAACACAAATGACATAGCGGGACATATCGTATGGATGAGAGAGGACGGAGCTTCTGATTCGC